CTTTAATTCTCGGGCACTGACTCGTTCGCTAAACTGAACATCCAATCAGAGCTCTCACTCGCGCCGACGGTCCCGACGGCACCGACGCCGGTTCAACATGTTGAATCGGGCAAATTGCCGCCGACATGAGCCCGACGAGTGGAACACACCAAACAAACTAGGCCGACCGTCGCTCGCCGTCGGCCCAACGTTGGCCAACGGCCGACCGTCGGCTTGGTGTGTCCCAGCCTTTAATTCCTCTCACGCATGCGCAGAACGCACATGTTAGTTTGCCGTCGGCTGTAGTCTGTGAGGTGTGTTCGAACGCAGATTTTTGGCCCGACGCTGCCGACGCGAGGCGACAACACCGTGGGCTTTCGTCAAGGCTAGTTCTTTGAAGTCAGCTTGGTGTGTCCCAGCCTTAAAGAGGCTCAGGACAGTTGACGGGCCACTGCTGCGCATCGTCACGAAAGCTTATCATTTGCACTGTTTTTAAGCCTTGCCAATTTAAACATTCAAAAGAGTTTAAAGCATTCAAACACAAGACGCGGAAAAACTCAACTGAGTAGGCTACTCGCGCGCCGTGCTCGTTGCGCACGCAGAGAACCGCGTCTCACGGACAGCAACACCGAACCGAGCTCTCCTTCGCATCCTCCTGCACCTGAACGAACAAATACAAATCGCAGTTTAAACATGCAAACAGAAAAAGATGTGAAAGAGCCTAATTCAGCACCCGCGCACAGGGCGCACGCGTCTCAAAGCGCTTGAACACCGAAATTGACCTCCTCTTGCTCTTGTACCGACAAATACATAAAACATTATGTCAAAATACCTGTCTTGGAGAGTATCCTCGAAAAAACTGTCGGTTATGTCTTAAGTGAAAGTAGAAAGAGGAGAAAGAAATTGGATATGTATCATTATAATGGATCCATTGCCTCTTAAAGTGACCGCACCTAATTTACTAGCTGCTGTAATGTTAATCCAAGAAAATGATAGCAAGAAAATCACTCACTGCCCTTGACTGAATTACTTTCTTATTTTCTTTAATTGCTAATGCGACCTTTTTACACCACAGACTGAACAAAATGAAGCAATGCTTGGTAATTGGTCAACAAAGTATTGATAGTTGTGTAAATATTGTCATACTAATAGTTGG